TGCAACCACTGTGACTCTCATGTTATTGTTTGGTTCAGGAGGGAGTCCCTGTCCAGCAGGCAGCATTGCTTGCCATTAGTCTATTTCTCTCCTTTTCAAATTTTGGATGTTAATTCTCTCAGCTCTGTCCTAAGCCACCTCCTAGGCTCTTGCCCAAGGCACCTAATGAATTCCTCCAGCCCTTGCCCTGATTGTGCTAACAACAGCCAAACTCCATCCTTGTCTTCCATCCTTGTTTATTTCATTCCTGAAGGGCTGAAACTCATGCAGAGGCCAAGAAAAGCACACGATTTTCCCCTTCTACTTGTTTCTCAGGGCACTTTGCACTGGCAGGCATAGGACATGTATAAAGTCGCCACAAGGACAGAGTCTAACCTGAGTCCTGGAAGACAGAAAACATGAGTATGTGTCTTCTAGTCCTTCTTCCTCAGCAGCTCCACAGCCCCAGGGATCACAGAGGAGCCAAGATATCCTCAGGAGATCTCTGTGCCATCACGGCACTGATGCTGCTGCTTGCTATTGCTACAGAGATATCTGGCTCCCTTACAGTAATTACACTGCGGATGCTTTTAGTGTAACTTTGAACTTGTGTATTTAAAAAATGGGAGAAATTTGCAATAGCGTCAGCACATGGCAATATCTGAATGACTAATAGCCAGCGGAGGTTAATGTCCCTTAGCTTCCTCACAGGCCATCAACCCCTAGAGCTGATAATTAATTGCCTGAAATAGCCTAATGCCATTGTCGTTACTGCTTAATTATTCAGATGAAATGAATAATATCAATGCTAGGACTTCAGTCTTCATAAATGGAGAATTCTGTCTTTTTTTTTTTCCACATTCCACACATTATTTTCATCACCACTTCAATAGATGATGCTTCATGCCTTTTGAGCTTTCATAAAAGTAAAGACATTTCTTATGTATGGGGTAGCATATAGAACAGACAAATAACCAGCTTACATTCAGTTATTGTTGCGTGACTGAATGAATAACCACAGAAATCAATCATGGCAGGAAATAAATGCATGAAATGGAACTTATAGGAAGAGCTACATCCAAGCCACCGAGCAGATGCAGAGTATGGCATGGTTCTGCTTTCCAGACCCCCGCCATGGGGTGCTCTGAGGGGCACCTGAAGCCAGTCCAAGTATGACAGCTCACAGTCAGAGGTTCAGAGAGGTTTGGATCCAAGGTTTTGATACACTACCTCAAAGATCACTTCTCCACTGTTGATTTTCATATCCCAGTGCATGCTCAGGTTTCTGAAGCTTGTTCTGATCACTTGTAGTTCAAGGTGTTGAAATTACTTGCAACCTGATTGTCTGTTATAAAGTATTTTGCTAACATTCATTCAATAGCAAACACACATGGTAGTTCTTTATGCCTCTCATTGACAGCTCTTTTGCCAAATGCAGATTGGCAGACCAAGATCTTGGCTTAGGAAATCTTCCCATCTGAATAAAACGATGGTCATTGTCTCTTCAGCCGCTTCTTTTATGAACAAGGTTTTGAGTTTGTGTCTCTGTTCCTATTTATGTATCTACATAAATGCATGGAAGCCATGTGTTAATGTGTGGTATGTCACAGTGTTGTCAAAGGATGCTTCTTTTTGGTCTTTTGGGGAAATAAGTCTCATGTGCATGAGAACACCTTTTTAGTCAGTCAAAGAGAAAGCTGCCATGCATGTGGTGTTCTGCAGGATTTCACTTTGTGCACATCTGCTTCTCAATATAGCACTTCCTTCAAATTCCTCTGGACACTGGTATGTGAGTGTTTCCATTTTGATATACAGCAAAATACTGAGTTTGTCAAGAAAAAGTAAAGACAAGGAAAAAAGATCCTGAGAAATGTCTACAAGATAGTCATGTTTTTGCTGGTAAATTAAACAGCAGCAGGCCATGGGCTTGAGCACTGTTCTTCCAGGTCTCCATGCAGCTTATCAGTAGCATTTTCCATAAAGATGTTTGGCCAAGTCAAACCCCTACACAGTGGCTGGACACAGTTTAGAGGTTGGAATGTGCAGGGACAATCCCAGCGGAAATGGGGACTTAGTAACACAGGGGATTTTTGAAAAGGCGAAGGAGAGGTCGTGGTATTCAGCTGCCTGAATATGAGCCATTCTACTTTGCTTCCAAGCTGGAACCAGTCCCTTCTCCATTTTGTGATAAGTACAGACATAGCTTAAGGACCTAAAACTTTTGAGAGTTGTATTTCTAACCCTTAGAGATATATATATATATATTTTTAATGATACACAGCTCATCACTGGCTTTCACTAATTGAGAACCTCGTTTGCAGAAAGTTGTCTTCTGTCGGATTAATGCTCTGGGACAATTATGCATTTGTAACTGCACTGAAAATTCTAAGAAAAAAGCACAAAATTTTCGCTTGCTCTTCCAGTCTTAAAGATGTTAAAAGTCTGAAAGCTGTACATGCAGCATTTGATTTACTGGGTAATGAAAGTAAGAGCTTCCTGCGGGGTTCTCTAGCAAACCACAGCGACAGGCAGGGTTTGGATAAGGTGGCAGTGAAGGTATTTTCTGAGGATGGTCCAGACCAGTGAGGGAGAGGAACTAAGATCCAGATGCTCAATTTCCCTGCTCCCTCCTTGCTACCAGAGAACCACAGGCATGGAGAGTCCTTGTCCTAGTTTCTCACTAAATAACTTCTGTGCTACCACCAAGGAAGACCAAATCTTGACACTCTTGTTTGTTGTTTTTTTTTCACTCTGTTATTATTTTCATTTTAAGCCCTCCTCTGATGACAGAGGTGACAGAGATGAAGTCCCTGGTTCAAAGATTTCACTGAAAGAATGAAGAGGCAATACAGAAACCAGGAAGAAATGGGTGAATTGAGAGGAAGGAGAATGCCCCGCAGCCCTGTGGTTACATCTCTTGACAGCTCTCCTGCATTCTTATGTACATCTGCCCATCACGGACATCTTTAAGACCTGGTGTATTATTACTATCATATTACTGCAATAGCTGTCAGGCCCATGACAGATGCGAGCTTCAGAGGGGAGAGGATAAGAATACAAAAAGCTTTTTCATGCACAGTGAGTTTCAAAATGGATGGCAGCAGAATGAGAGTGAGAAACAGAATTAAAAGATGCCAGTAGCTTTATTTGGATAAAGTGCTGGAAAGGGGAGACCAGAAGGGTATTTTCAGGAGCAGGGCTGCACAGTCTTGATAGAGAAATTGAGATGTTTGATTTTTAAGCTGTGTGCTGGAGGGAACACAGGGTGAGAGCAAGAGGAGGCAGACGTGCGGTGCTTTCAGTCTAATGGAATCTGTTCCTTCTCCAGAGTGGGGATCAGCTACTGAGAAATTATTTTGATCCAAATGTGTGTGTTCCTTTCTTTCTATCAAATATGCCGCTGAGAAATCCCACTGTCTGTGGGATTATTAAGATTTCCTTCTTGCAGCTTCATTTGTAATTGCTGTAAGTCTCTGTCCCTGTTGCACAGTTTAGTCTCACACAACTAATCTCGGTGCTGCTCCAAAGAGAGCCAAAATCATGAATTTAAAGGTGAGATGGCGGTGCTACTGCTTGTATTCTACTGTAAATAGGATATAATATGTAAATAGGATCAGCCAAAAAGCTGCAGCTACCATCATCCAGCATGCCATTTCACAGGATGGGACATGTCAGGCAGGCACACGTCATACACGTTCTGATGGGTCCTGATAGGCAGCACACTGCCCTACAACAGCCCAGCATCCCAGTTCTCTCCATGCCCTGGGACATTTCATGTCAGATTTCTCTCCTAAGCACGTGCTGTCCCTTGCATCAAGCAAAAAGAAAGTTGACAGCACAGAGGAAACAGGAAAACTTTCAGGCTTCTATTTTCTCCACTGAATTAATCATCTCTGACAGTTTTGTGGCTTCCTATGACCCTTAAGTTTTACTGTCTGGTAACACATCAGGCACGGATTTCCCTCTTTCTTTCCCCTACAGCAAAAATTACAATGATCTTTCTCAAAGCTGACAGGGACAGGGCTTATTTCCAGTAAAAGGGCACCATACTTAGCTACACAGGGTAAGTGAGGTTAGAGAAATAGGTACATGGGAATAATGACAGCACCGAGGGCAGCAGACTTTCCAATTCACTTATACAGACAAATGTAACAAGTTCAGACACTAACATTTTTTTTTCGTTGCTCAAAAGAAAAAAAAAAAAATTCACTACTTGCTCTGTTTTCTGTCTGTGAGCACTCTTCTATTCTTAACTTCTGCGCTGCAGTGCGGCTAGGCTGTATACATGCAGATATGCTCCCAGCCCTGGGGAAGATCTGAGATAAGCAGAGAAGTGACACACAAATGGCAAGGAGGAGACAGCGATCTAATCGACTGGCCGCGAGCTTGGTACAGTGAGATGGGGAAAGCACAGAGAGCAAAGGAAAACAGGTTTCCACCGGGAGACACGTACTGCTCTCCCCCTCTTTCTGTTCGTCCTTGGCTTTTCACTCCCTTCTCCTCCGAGCTTTCTCTGTGCTTCCCAGGCTGAGATGGTTTTCAGGGACTGCTAACATAGGGCCTGTGCAGGTTTGGACTGGTTTGCCTGCTTGCTTTTTCAGTTTGCTGCCTGTCTCTGCCTCTCCTTGTGGCCTTCTGATCGGCACACAACACTGACTTCTCCTTGCTGGAACTGGCTCCTCTCCTCTTTTGTTGTCTGGTGAATACCTAACTTCTGATGATGGTCTTGGGATTTTGACATTTCTATATAGCTTCCATATTGCACGCAAAGATGAAAAAAATTGGCAATTTTTTCCCCCCTCCATCTCTCCTTTTCTCACCTCTAAAGCTCTTGCCAAGTGCCAAATCTGAACCCAGTAATACTAATGCATTTACTGCACTCTCACCTCACTGCATTGCCCATATACAGGTGCAGTGAGAAAAGGCAGAGTTATGAGTAGCTGCCCACACTAAAACACTTTGATTTCATATTTCAGATTCCAACCAGACCTGTGTTCTTCAAACTCCATTTTTTAAAAACAATGAAGTTGAAGAAGAAATCTGAGAAGAAGAAGTCTTCGTTTCAGGACAAGGTAAGTGTTTCACACCATAATGAGAGAACTCTTTTCACGGCCCTCCTATTTGCCTGGAAAATGGTTTGGAGGGGCTGAAACAGCCTTGAGGCTTCTTGTCTTTTTCCACTACTCCTGGTTAGCTAGAAATGAGGCCAAATCTGCCTGATGACACTATGCAGTCACAGCAGCAATGTGGCTTTGGAAGTGTGAGTCAGTGGAAAGCCAGGCACTTGGCTGGGCATATCCACTCCTCTGAGCCCTATCTCCATATCCACTTCACACTGCCAGACCCGAGGAGAGCTGTCAGACTGCAGATCCCCACTTCACACCTTTCTGAGACAAGAGCTGGGACAAGGCACTGAGCTGCACGCCCATCCCTGGCTTCCACCCAGATCGCAGTGCACGGTTGGGTGAGTCCCCAGACCCTCCAGCACCCCACACTTAACACAGCTCATGCCTTCTCTCTCAGGACTTCTCTGCAGCAGCTGTAAATCCTTCAGTCTGCATTCATCCTACTCAACTTCATGCATGTAACTGAAGTGGTTGGTAAATGGCTCACCCCTCTCAGCATCTCCATTTGTGGTCACGGGAAGTCCATACCACCTGCTATAAAGGGGTGGGATCTGGGGCATATGTGGTAAAAAAAGCAAAAAATATATATATTTATACACATATAATAGCAACAGTGACTTCAGATTTGGACTGCCTTCAAGCAGATGTGAGAAATGTGGTACTTCATATCCATCTTCTGGAAGGGCTTTTTATTCACAATGAAGCTCTTCCCAACCACAATTTAATTGCAATAAGCTGCATATTCTGTGAGTTCTCAAAGAAGAAAATGGATCTGTTTGTCGCTGTGCAGAGATGCTTCTTGACACCACATTGCCCTAAAAGCGTTGTTTACCTTCTCAGGGCACAGATAATAAAGGATAAAGATTTGTAAAACAACTTCTGAAGAGGCTGCTTCTAAACCATCCATCCTCATTAATTTAAATCCAGAAAGCTTGAAAAGGCCACCTTCACTGACCCAGCTTAAAAACCCTGAGATTTAAGGCAAGGAAAGATCCTGTGGAGGTCAGTAAGCTTCAAACTGAGACTGCTAAAAGCAGGCTGAGGTGCTTTGGCAGGATGAAGCCCTGCTGCCAGGCCCAAACAGGTGACCTGATTTCTTTGCAGGCCTCTGCAGGGGAAATGCACGCTCTTGCTGCTCACCCCCTCCCTTCCATTGCATTAATTCCAGGGCTCCCACATCAGTCTTCATAGGGAAAGGATTTTGCCACACTGCTAAGAGCTTAGGAACCAAACCTCAGAGCCTGGGCAGGAGCAGAGCAGCAGCCATGGCTGGTGCCAGGCAGTGAAGATCTTTGGTTTCTGCTTTTCCCAGATAGCTGGCTGAAGACAGGATTGCAGAAAACCTTGTCCTATACCCAGCTCTGGCTTTGTTATGCAAATGTGTGCATATTACTTGATTTCCATTCTCCACAACTTCCTCCTCTGTAATGTGCAGTTAATATTTATACATTCTTAATGACTGCAGATTTTGTGTGTACACACTTTGCTGCGGTTCTGCAGATTAGTTTACCAAAGTATGGCCAGATTCTGCCATGGCTACAGATGGGCATGACCACAAAGAGTGTCGTGGCTTACCTGGTGCAAAGGGCTTGGGAAATGGAAATTAAACTGAATTTTTGAACAAAGTGCCACAGAAGTGTATAATCATGAATATATATTAATTCAGAGCGAGAGATTTGATAAAACAACACGTCATGGCAGCGTATAGAATGGGCACATGCACAGCAGAGCGAGCACCTCAGAAGGGGATGTGTCCCTGATGTGTGCCTGACCACCACACCGTTGGCATGACTGCGTTCATTCAGTGAACGGAATATCACGTAAGGATGCACTTAGGGCAAATTCAGTGCTGGGTAAACATCCACCCACAGCCGGGATACTGTCTAACTCCTAATGGGAAATGATCAGTTCTTAGATGGAAATAGGAAATGCGCACTTTTGCATGAGCCTTGTTTCTGGCAGGGCCCTGCAGAGCTCACTTTGACCACCAGAGGTCAGAAGCAAAACATCTCAGCTACACCCCTGAGCCCTCATTTCCTCAATCGCTGTCCTGGAGAGGGAGAAACGGAGGAAAATGAGCAGAAATACCGCTTCATTCACAGTGAGGAGGATGGAGACAGTAACATGAAGGACCGCAGGCGATGGAGGCGGAAGGTGGCAAGGTTAGCGATGCGGCCAGCAGCCTGTGGGCGTGGGAACTGGGAGGAGTGAGGGAAGATGTGCCCTTCATACTTCACTGAATATAACACGGGTTTGTTGACATTTGCTGCCCTTTTGTGTTTGCTTATTCATGAACACAAACGTAGGAAACTTTCTGTGTTTTTCAGGAATGCAGACAGAACCTAAAAACCCCGTCAAAACCTCTGTGGATTTTCAAAAAAGGCACTTTCAGCTTTCCTGAAATCGTGCTTTTATTCTTTGCGAACACATTTCTGGAATATTAAAAAAGCATCTGAGCATAATAAGCAACCAACAGAGCAAATTTTCCCAGCCATAAAGCCTGGATCAGCTCATGGGTGAGAAATAAGACCACATGATCACACTGACCAGCCATAAGGCAGGAAAATTGGAAAGGCTGCAGAAATCTCAGGGTGGAAATCGGCTCAGATTTATCCACACTGTAAATCTTTAAAGAGTTGTTTAAGCCATGAGCTGTAAACTCTGCGCAGACCATTTGTAGAAGGAAATGTGCTTTATCAGACAAATTACTCATGGCATAACTTGACCTCCTCTCTTTGCCTCTTGGAGTACAGTTGTGGGCTTTGTATGTTGGAAAGGAAAGGACTGAGGATGGCAAAAACAAAATGATCTTTTTTTTTAATTATAATTCAGAAAGCGTCAAACCAAGCAACTGTGCTGCAGAGAAAGCACCCTGGCTCTGCTGCAAAGCACCAGCATGTTCTGGCTGGAGCTCCATGCACTGTCACTTACTGGTGGCCAGGATTAGTCATCTCCTGTGAGAAACACACAAGAAATGGTGTTAGACAAAAAAAGAATGACACTAATGAGCTAGAATCTCCCAATTCCCTCTGCAGTTTTACAGCTCTATGACATGCTTTCACTATGAGTATAGAGGAGTAAATATATTCATATTTTGCAGAAACAGTTGCTCTAAGAAAAGTTCCATAGTCTGTTTTTACTAAGGCATAAGGCTCTTGAATAAAATTATGTTTATTTCTCAAAATTGGTAAAACATGTTTCTGAGCAATGACTAAAAGTGTGCTTCATCTTGCAGTGAGCTATTACATACCTCTCTGAAAGAGAAGTTTATTACTGAGATCCTGACAGCTCATTAACTGCCTTACTGTGCTATAATAAAACTCCCATCACTCTATCTTCACAGCAAAGGAAAAGATAAAATGAACAGTGTTTGCATGTTGCATGTGATCAACAATCTCAGAAACACAGGCCCCCAAGGCTCAGTTCACTGCTGCAGTGGGGTTGAGATGGGACCAGGGAAATGTATGCCTTCTGCAGAGAAAGGTTGCCCCACCAGGGCTCCCCCCTGTCTGTCTTGCTGAGGCTCTGATGCTAGAGTTAGCTTCAGAGCTTCAGCTGTTATTATTCATGTTATCTGACCTTTGTGGAAGGTGCAAAACAAGGAGCAGTTTTTGAAAACATCAGGCTTGATCCTTGTAGCTCTCAGCTGCCTCCATCAAGGTCTGCTCAATCACCACCATCAGTTAGGATTTCTTCCTGCCTCCCCCTGTTAGGGGCTGATGGGTTAAGCAGTGATTTCTGAGATAGTTAGATATTTTTTGCTGTTTCTAGCAGCTCTCCAGAGAAGCTGGAAAAGGCCTTCAAGATCATCAACTCCAACCACCAGCCTGACCTACTGAGTCTCAGACAGCTTCCATCTTTCCCTTTTGTTGCTCCCGTTCCTAAAAATCTCAGGTAAGAGACTCAGAATTTTCTAGGATATAAACGCATCTCCACTGATGCAAATCAGGCCAATTATTTTGCATCCTCTCATAGCAGACAGAGAGGAGTTTGATCTCTCATTTCTGTTATAACCCTTGATGAACTGGTGACTGGTTCCTGTCCTTTCCTCACCCCTACCCTCCATTCTTTCCCGAGTAAGTACAGCAAAATCCTAGAATTTAAGTGCAAGTAACATTTTGTAATTCTCCTATCATACTTCATTTTTTCCTCAGTTCTCTTTGCAGCTTGTCGTATCTGTCTCTAAAGTGTGGCTATCAGCCTTGGGTAGAGTAACACTCTAGCAGAGGCCTTATCATTATGGATCAGAGCATGTTAAATACTCCTGATGCTTTGCACATGACATTCCTGCCAGAAAATCCAAGCATGGGAGTTGCCTTTTCTGCAGCACCATCACACACACATTTTTTCATTTCTGAATCACAGTAATTGCCAAATTCTTTTCCACTTTACTGGTGATTTGCTGTTAGTTCTTTATTGTGTATTTCTGTATTTAAATCTTATGACTAAAGAAAGCATTTTGCATTTCTCCCTACAGACCTTGAGTCACTTCTCTAGCCTGTCAAGATCATTTTAAATGCTATCCCCATCCTTTGAAATACTTGCATCCTTTTCCAGCTTGCTGTCATCTATGAATATCAGAAAAATATTTTTTATTCTATCTTGCAAATTGCCTAACACAACTAAATCTAAGACAAATCCACACTGAGCATTATTTGAAACAGAACCCAGATTGGCAAAAAAAAAAAAAAAAAAAGCCCAATTCTGCAAATGTTTTCCCTTCAGTGTATGTGTCCTCTTACAAGCTAGATGTCTAAGATGCTGTCACAATAGGTGGAGGCAGGAGAGCTATGTTGCTCATCTACAAGTAACCACACTGTGATCAGGTGTATTTGTCTTCAGGCTCTCTTGGTTGCATGGGCTAATGGCTCTGCTCAGCTGTCCTGAGGTAGGCACACAGCAATGCCCTCAGGGCAGCCTTACAGGGCTGGCAGGTCTGACACAGGAGGTCCACTCCACTTTGAAGTTGTTGCTGGAGGTCAGCCAGGAGGCATTACAGGTGGTACTAGCACCTTTATGTGGACAACTTCATTAAGCCCTAGATCTCACTAAAAAGGGAACTGAGAGAGCTAGGTTATGTGTGGACACCTACAAGGTAAACAAGAAAAATACCTCTGTATGAATCACAAATCTGAAGCTGAATATTGTCATACCTATCTTCATTTTTGTTTAGGGGAATGCCACATAGAATAGTGTGAAAAGCCATATGAAAATCAAAGCAAAGCAAGTTTGTTGTTATCCCCGGGGCCAATTATTTGGTCAAAGACTGGTTTGATCTGATTCTTTTTGATAATCCCATCATCCTTGGTTTTCTGTCATTATGCTATCCTTTAGGTTCTCCTGCGGTGTTTTATTAATAATTCACTCTAAGCCACAAATTTACATTCCCTGAGCTCTGGTTCTCAGGACTCTTCCATACCTTTAAAATAAAAAGTGCCATACTTGCTGTTCTGCACTTCTCTGAGATGTCCCATAAATTCTTGGAGGTAATTGTTGGAGAATCAGAAATTGCTTCATTTAGCTTTGAAGTTTTTCCAGCGTGTTTTTGGCTGAGCGCCACCAAAATGAATATCTCTGTTTACCTGAATGCTGTTTAGCTTCTTCTTTTGCAAGTTCATTCTGCATTTATTTTCTATCATTGAAATTCACTGTGGTAAGTATCAAGTCCTAGATATTCTCTTCCTAATGGCTGAGACTGATGAATACTTTGACTATTGTTGTTCTTCTCCCTGATGAGCTGTTGAAACTATGCTCTCTTCTCTTCTTGTTTTCCTGTATTGCTCAGTGCTTCTTACTTTTCGTAACGCGTTTTACAACTTGGTCATTCTGAATTTAATATTACATACTATGGATGTCATGACTAGTGGAGAAGGATTGTTGTTCTTTCCTGAGGAGCAGATGCTGGAGTCAGTTACTATCAATATTATCTGACAACAGTATGAAAACCAATGATGTGGGTTTTTATCTTTAGTGTTATACTCCTGCTTGATTACTTCAGCAATATACATGAAATGGTGTATGAATGTTCTTTCTGCAAGATGTGCTGAAGAAGTCTTTACGTGGCAATGGACTATATGAGGCAAAATTGAAGGATACGGGCAATACCCTGGATATAATCATCTTTAGTCTTGCATCTTTGCTTCTAGCATCTGCTTTCAGGTCGTTGAGATCATTTTTGTCATCGCATTTTCCCTTGTACTCACCTCAAATAGCAATCCAGACACTAAAGATAGCTATTAAACAAGGTCATGTTGGAAAAATGATTATTCATTTATTTATTTAATTCTGGTTAACTCCAAATATTTATTCAAACTATAGAATTTCTGAGAGTGTCCAGCAGTAAAGGACAGATGTATTTGCAAAAGGCAAGTAGCCAGTCATTCAGCACGGTTGTGATTAAAGCTCAAAATGGTCTTGGATGCAATCTTTTGAACTCCAAATCATGGCTCACTTGATAGATTGATGCAGAAAATGTTTACACTTCATTATGTTGAAAGATGATGGATAAGTTTGCAACTGCATTTGATCAGTGAAGTGTAGGAACAGGTCAGATGAAGTAGTGGAGAGAACAGCTGGAGAAATGAGGACTGAAAGTTAATTGTAGCCAAGATTAATTTCCTTTATTTGGCTGTGTGGGAGAAGGGTTTGAAATTGTTTGGAAGGTGTTTTTAGTTTCAGAAGACAATAATAGTATTTAGCATTACACATGACATTAGGCACATAATTTTCATCTATACATTTCAGCGCATTTTCCAAACACTGTTGTTAATCTTCTTGCTAGGCTTTGGAAAGGGAGGCTCTGACAATTTAGTGAACTGTTACTTTGCCCCTAATTTCCGCACCAGTCCACAACATAGAATCATGGAATCATTAAGGTTGAAAAGACCTCTCAGATCATCCAATCCAACCATCAGCCCACCCCCACCATGCCCACTGACCACGTCCCTCAGTGCCACATCCACACGGTTCAGGAACACCAGGGATGGTGACTGCACCACCTCTCTGGGCAGCCTGTGCCACTGCTTCACCACTCCTTCTGAGCAGAAATATTTGCTAATGCCCAACCTGAACCTCTCCTGGTTGTTACTTCTTCACCAGTTTAACTGAAGTAAGCAAAGTAGTTAAGATTTATTGCTATTCCACACAGCATCGTCAGGTGTGGCTTCTCGTGATTAATATAACTTATTTCCTTGTATTCTTTGGGGTTTTTTTTGTAACAATTGGTCGTCCTATCACAAGAGGCTGACCCCCCCCCCCTTGCTACAACCCCTTTGAGATGGTTGTAGAGAGTGATGAGGCCTTCCATGAGCCTCCTCTTCTCCAGACTGAATGATCCCAGTTCCTGCTGCCAGGGTCCCAAACTGAACACATCACTGAAGGTTTGAGCAGATCCAGTGCAGAGGCCTGCTGTCCTCACTCAGCACTTCTTCAGAGCTCAGAATCAGAAAGCCCCCTCCCCTGTTAGTATCACTGGAGAAAACAGTCAATGGGTTCTGTTCTTCCCATTAGAATTATTTTGCAGTCCAAGAGACAAGGCAGCATTGCAGCCTGTCTTGGATAAGCATTAGTTAACTGGCAGTTTGCTTAGACTGTAGGGCTCTGAACATGTAGTCTCCTTGCAAATTGTTCGAATATTAGAGAAGTGTGGTCACAACCAGATGGAGGCACACTGGAGTATCTCTCACCACTTCTTGGCACAGTGTCAGGATGAGACTCTGCTACGTAACTCCCCTCCCTTCAGTTTTCATGGTTTTCACGGTGAGGAAGCCTGGGTGAGCAGGCCTTGATGGCACCTTCCACCCACATCCCCAGCCTGGTGAGCTGTGACCTTGGAGCATGCACTGACACCTACCATGAGATTCCTTTGTGCATCTGCTGTGTGCAGAACATACAGGCATTTGCACATGAATATAATGGGGAAAAAAAAAATAAAATTACTTCCTATCAGGTATGTGCAAAGTGGAAAATATCTGTGCTTTTTGGCTCAGTAATGTGCTGCTTTCTCCTTGCTCTTAGGCACTACAAAATTACATCATTAGAGATTTTCATGCTCTGTTCCATAAGTGCACATAAAATGTCTGGTCAACTAGAGCATAGTATCCACTCTGTATCCTCTGTATCTCTTAGAAATCACGGGTTAATTTCTCACCCGTTGAAAGCAAAGGCAAAATTCCTGTAGACTTTAATGAAGCCAACACTTTCTTCTTGTGACTTTGCCATCATTAAGCAGAAGCCATTTGGCTTTAGATACTGAGTGTCTCATCATTCTGAACAAACTGCCAAGACAGGAAAAAAAAAGAACGCTTTTTCAATCACTTTCATTCGTTAGGAAATCTTGAGTTGTACACAAACCTTTCAGTTTTTTCAATATGTGTTCTGTCAGTTTGTCTCCTCTGAGAGAGCCCAATTATGCATGTGCTGCAGCTACGTTTTGAAACAGACATTCCACAAAAGAACCGATTTTACATTGTGGCTGCAACATATTAAAAATACCATTTGCAGTATTTACAGATACTGACTATTAACAGGGGCAATCACAGAGCAGATGAGCATCTTTTCAACTGGTGTTTGCCAGTTTGGGGTATGTCTCTGGAGAAGGAATTTTGTGGAGGATTGGGTAGCTGTGTGCCGATGTTAAGTAGGACGGTGAATTTTCTTGAGTAACACAGTCAGATGTAGTCCTTATCAGGATAATTAAATAGCACATCTCTCAGCATCCAGTAATGGTGTAAAAATTGCAAATAATATTTATCACATCAAAGTGACTGGAGCTAGCGTGGAGCACAGGTTCTGCTCATGTGACACAGGCAAAATAGCAGGGAAGTAAACAGGCATTTTGGCTGAATTGTGCCTTCTTCTATCACATGGCTTTGAAATCTGAAAACTTAAGGCTT